TTCTTACATGTAGTTTTTATACAAAATGAAAATTTGAAAACATTAAAATTTATACCTGTGCCTAGGGTTGTCTAACCATTCCCACTGACTGCCGTATCTTCTGCTTGTTGTTTTCCTCCAATTGCATCTTGCATTTTTCTCATGGGTTTTAGAGTACATGGAATCCCACATGATGGGAATGCAAGTCAGACTTCATAAATTTTGTTTCAATATTTTGCAAAGTGAATTTGACTTTAAAAAAAAACTATTATTAATAAAGATCCGTACATCATTATCAAGTTGAATGCTGAGAAAGCAGTGTCTCCTTCATTTTCATTAATTGATTGATGACTTACTTTGTCATTCACACCTGAATTCCATTTTAAAAAGTTGAAAAACACATCATTTTCCTGTTATTGTTTCATGTTTATTTTTCTGGCATCTGTTTTTGCCACATCTTGTTATAAACTTCTTTAGACTTCAATACAGGAGAGTCAACAAAGGGAAATAACACCAGTTTGATTTTTTGTCTTCAGTGCAAAAGAGTCAGCAAAGGGAAATAACTCTAGGTTAATTTTTAGGAAAAGTTGCAATTTGAGGGGATTGGAATATGGCTTTTAACTGATTTCCCCACCTCAAATCTTTTTGCATCTTTTAGATATAAACTCGATCTTACTAAAAAGATCTATTTTCTAAGTTTCAATTGCCTGCAAAAATTTATATTCATATCAAGAAATAGGCACTTTGGTAATCATTTTTATGACAAATTCATGTAAATTGATCTGTATCATATTTAAAACCTTGGGTTAAATTGAATAAAATTTAGATGCACAGAAACTTTGATTACTTAGTTATAAAATGAAACCCATGTTATGTTCATAACTTTCCTACATTAAGGAAGCATAGAATTATTTTACATGGTGATGACAATCATGTCAGTTTTGCCATAACAAAATATTTCAAAGTCGTTGCTATGGAAACCAAGGAGGTACTGTCTAAAATTTACCCACCAATAGTCTTTATATAGGGCACTCTCTAATATTATAGTGATAAAATAAAATTCCATGATAGTGCGTGGCCAAGCATTTTTGGTCCTTACAGAGAATTGATGTTAAAACGCAGTCTTGATTAATTTTACTCTAGACAACTTGTCCACGATTTTGCCGGATAACACTCGTATGTTGGCAATTTTGCTACATTTTCATACTCAGATGTAAAGAATCAAGTGAACACAGTGTTCACATTCATGTCATTGCTCTCCTGATAAAACTAAAACATAAATTCTCCACTGGACATAATATGATTATCCAAAGTTCACATTTTTGGTTAGTTTTAGCTTAGATAAACTTTGTTTAACCCTTTCGAGAATTTTACACTCATATCGAGACGCCACCACTTACCGGTGGAGGGCTGCAAATTTTAGACCTATCCTAGGCACTCAGAGCCATTGAGCGGTGAGGGATCTTTTTCGTACCAGCACTACTGCTACACTGGACCTCAGTTTATACGGTCTCATCAGAAGGACCGGTCTCCACGTCCCGCAGTAGGATTCGAACCCACGACGTAAGGATTCACTCCTTACTCCGCAACTCTTAAGCAAACGCTCTAACCACTGCGCCACGCGGGCGACGCTCAAACACAAAGGAGAAAGTACGTTATGTACCAAAATCGGCCCTGTCCCCGAATCTGTCGAAGATTTTTTTGAAGCATATCTAAGATGTCCTCATTTTCATTCAGCGTAATTTTTGTAATTATCTCAAATCAATTTTCCTACAAAGCTATCTGAATATAGATAGTTTCTTTGGAAAATAACACTATGACGTTATGACGTCAATCTAGCGACGCTACGCAAATACGAGGGTTGTTGGAAAGTTCGTTATATTACTCTCAAGAAATATTAAAAAAGAACACATTTTCTTATATAAAAAATATTTATTTTGTTGATGTGTGAAGTTTCATTTCATTCGATTTAACAGAAATCAATTTACTTAATTTTAAAATCAACATGTTTGGTAACCACGGAGCTGCGTTACAAAGTCAAAAAACATTGCGTCATGGTGTTTTCATAAAAAAAATTCCCCCTTTACATATCACACAGTTTAGTCCAATACCCAATTATAAAAAACGTTTCTCTATCAAATTTAATTTATTTTGCTAACAATCGTACAAGTAGCATAATTCAATTTTATTTGTCCATGTTTTATTTTTGTTTTTTATTTTACCGCGTAATTTTGCATTTACAAATCAGCAACTGTGAAGCGCCTTTCTCTTTCCTTGACTTAACCAACTCAAAGTTTCTGTTCAGATTTTTTTTTTTTTTACAGATAATCCATTTTCCCACTGGCCGCCCTTGTCTGATACAGAGTTTTAATCATTCGAATACAGCCTCTATCATTTATACAAATATGCACAAATCGCTTTTGACATTTGCTCACTACAATATTTTTAGACTTTATTCTGAAGATTTCCAGAGTACAACACAAAATTTTGTTATTCCTTTATTTAATAGTACTTTTATTATAAGTATCCGATTATTCAATTCAAGCAAGAGTTTAAAGTTAGACTATTTTTTATGCGAATTCCTTGGTTTGTTTTTAAGATTGCATTAAAACTTTTAACACTATTTTATAGAATGTCAGATTCCCTATAAAATTTTATGAGAAAGCATTAAAGATATTTTGGAAAAAGTATTCAATAAAAGAGTGATAAAGAGTTGGAATTCTCATCCTAAAATTGAGAAACCGTCTTCCCTCACACACAGTCGATAAGATAATTTTCCTCATTAAAAACTGCTGACTTTACATGTAGAAAGTACAGTGATTAGAAACACTTCACTTCCGCGTGAATTAGTGTCAATTAATGTGTTGTTTTCATAATAAAATTATCTCGTCATACTGCGCTTTAATTGGACTTGATCTCATAAATTTTTAGTTTCCGAAAAAGTTTCGAATATATTCGACTGTCGTTCGAATAATGCAATCGAATATTCGACTAAAGAAAATAAATATTTTGACATCCCTAGAAATTTTAATTAATAGATAACATGGAAAGGGCAAATTCCCCAGTCCATCCTTCCCAACAAGTCGCAGCGTCTAACGCGAATTTATCTAAACAAAATGTGTTTAAAACGTTTCTGTCGTCATCCGACCCCCCCCCCCCCCCGAAAAAAAAACTAAAAAAGTACTGTCATTCGATTAATAATTTTATATGTCACCGGATGGTTCTCTCAAATGCACGAATCAAGTATCACCCCCACCCCCCTTTACAAGCTGGTAGATGTGCAGCACTTATCTTGGATAGTTGGCATAGGCAACTTTCTATCGCATTTTCTTTAGCAACTTATTGAGGCTTTTTTTACCAATTCAGGATAGCTTTTCCAAAAAAATGAATAAATAAATAAATAAATTAATTAATTAAAAAATAAAATAAAAATAAACATGTATAAACATTTACTTACTTTGAAGAACACTTTTACGATTTTTTTAAATACGTACATATAATTATAGATAAATACTGTTGCTTGAGGTTTTGCTCAAAATGAGAGCCTATCTTTAAGTATATAAGTATTGTAAGCCTTCGATACCAAATCTATGGAGAGAAAGATTACAGGCATTTATGCTTTTCAATCCATTTCAGGTATAGTCCGTGATCGGAAGGTCGTGTGTTCGAATCACGGCCACGACCGACCTAAGTGTTCCTTCGTCAAGCGGCACTTTGAAGCGAAAGTTGGGGGTCTTTCGGATGAGACCTTAAAAAGTTGCGGGTCTTTCGGATGAGATCTTAAAAACCGAGGCCCCGTGTCTCGGTAGGTTCAAACTTTTTTCACAATTTTTTTTCACAACCAATTTTTTCCCCAATACACTAAATTTCCATTCTGATTAAAATCATATCTTTGTTACGCTCCGAAATTCTGATGGTCTGAATTTCGGAGCGTAACAAAGATCTGATTTCTAAACTTTACCTATGCTACAGCCAAGGGGGGGGGGGGGCAGTCTGTCAATGAACATTTTCAAAGTTTGGAAAAAAGTGGGAAGTGGCCCTGCATCCCTGATTCTTCGTGCCTGATAAATAACTTTTTTCAGACTTGTCCACACTGACAGATAATTTTGTTCCACAGTATATACGTATATACTTATATTAAATTGTGTGCTACACATACACCGCCGTAATGGGGTGAAAGAATTTAGTGACAGGTAACCTTGCTGAAAAGTGAACCCCTCATCCGATACAGCTTTTTATTCATTTTTTGTCCGAAATTCTTTTTTGGACCTTTCTGTCGCTTTCTCATTCCAGTCTTCTTTTAACTTCACTGGATCCCCGACAGATAAGAAATTACAACTCTGGTATATGTGGAATGATCTTAAGTAGAATATACGGGTAAAAAATAAATTTTACGAGGTGAAATATGAGCCTTTGTTTTTATATGCATAATTAATATTATCGACAATGTCTACATTATAAACTTATGCAGATGGAACACGCTTATATTGTGCGTGGAATTATAAAATCTGAAAATATATTGAAACATCAACCGTGCACTGGTATTTTAATGACTGAAAATACAAGACTTCAGAATATTAATTAATCTGATCAGTCCTGACCAAGGGCATCCAAAAGATTGGGAATTTATCCCCCTTCCCAATCCAAAAAAAATGTGTTGCAAGGGGGCCTATTGTGACGTCATCTTTGAGTTTATTGCGTAATTTATTTACATAAATGCAGACGTCAACTAGGCCTTTTCAGTAGCAAAATAAAATAAAGGCTAGGATTTAAGCATTTTCTTTTCTGCAAAATATACTTTTAGTGATTTCATTTGTCAGCTGAACATTTTTATTTTATTGCTTTAGTATATTAAATTGATCTCTTCCCTTCTTGCTGGCAACATTTATCAAGTGTAAGGCTTATTTGTATAAAATATTATCGCAATTTATCATTTCTATAAAACATTTTTTTTTAGTTTATATGCTATTTTCATGACAACAAATTCATTCTCAGAATATTCTCAAAATGTTCTGTATGTATCAAGGTCGCTCACAAACAAAATTGTTCTTATCATCACATGACTGGTCATTCCATTTACCATTCGGCCGCCATTCTGTACAATGCTCCTCTCCTCGGGCATTATTTGGTTCATGTGAATTCCAATTTCTGAATCGAATTCTTTCGGCGTCGGAGAGCTTGAGAAACTTATTTTCTTTCAGGATGTCCGAAACGCCCATCCATACACTTTTCATTCCTTAAAAAAAACTTCATTGTATAATATGACAAAACTGTTGTTTGCGTGATTAAGGAATTATCACAACCTACACAAAATTTAGAATAATTCAGAATGCTCTCTCTCTCTCTCTCTCTCTCTCTCTCTCTCTCACATTAACTTCACATTTTATTTTTAAAAATATTTCTCAGAGAAACCTTTACCTCTTAGCTTTAACTGCAGTTCGATCCAATGTTCTTCCTTCGCATCGTGTACCTGAACAAGTCGGCCGTTTTTTGCTGCCTCAGCACAGTATATCTGTTTTATTAAAACACTCATTTATTATTAGATTCCTTTATGATGCATCATATTTAGTATATAAATTTTTTAAGAAAGAATTTTTAAAAATTCCAGAGAAAATACACGTAGGCCTAATTGTCATTCTGAGTTTTAAATCTATTTCTCGATAATTTTTTTTTTACTTTAAAGAATAAGTTAAATATAATTCTAAATAAAACAACGATTTTTTTTTTCATAATCAATCTCATACGTATTGTTATCCGAAGAATTTTTTTACCCCTTGTAATGACATGGTTTATCTACTATATATAGGGAATTTTATCTCCGTGTTTTATTTTTGCCCCTTTTGCCCTCATTGCAAGTGGACGGGTTTACAACGGGGAGGATTCAAACAAGACAAACATTTCTTTCACTCGTTTCTCATCCGCACGGGCGAATTTAAAACAGGGCAAAATATATAGTTGGCAATTGGGAATGAAAATAATACCGAACGAAAAAAAAAACTTATACACTAAATCGTTCATAAGATTATACTGTACCTACCATTGCCTGCATGCTTGAAATTCATTTTTTCTTCAGAAAACAGGTAGCAGTGTCTACGATACGACACCCATCCCTTAGGGCATTCTGTAAAAAAATGTAAATCAGTGACTTGGTTTTCTATCTTTGCATTTTTGTATCATTCATATGTATGATTTTGGGACTGAATATACAACTTCGGCTCCATTGTATCAGTCTGTCAGACTACTTGTATACTAGTAGTATTTTTATTCTAATAAATAAGAATAAATTATTATAGGAAACTTAAAACAAAAAAGACATGTGTTCATTCCCAGAAAAAAGAAAATTCACCTCTGGTCAAGTAATAACCTTGCACAGTCGAGACAATACCACATACCAGGAAAACAGTTAAAGTTGACATCTTTCTATTGTACCTAAAACAAAACTTATTATAATTAATGAAAAATATGAATTAAAACCTGCGTCTTAAAATTACGTACACTGTACGTGTTCATGCAACGTTTATCGACCCAAATGTATTCGTACGTCCTAAAATGTTAAATAGTCCGGGTGATCTAATGCGTTAAATATTCAGAACACATGTGCATTGTTTCCTTTTTTCAAGTTATAACGTTTCTTGAAATTGCAAAAGTTTGGAAAAAAAACCCGGAATCCTTTTTTTTTTTCTTTCTTTTTTTTTCTTTTTTTAGAAAAAAGGAAGTAATTCAAATGTTTTTGGAGACCCATGAATGGATGTAAAACAGTACTGTCTATTAAAAATTTATACATGTACATTCAGGAATTAATGTGACCAAAAGTAGGTTTCATGCGACACAACATTGTGATCGTCCAGCTATATTTACCACGTTGTCCAAAATACGTCTTTTTTATTTGGTGATAAATGGAAATAAAATCTTTGCTTACCAAAATTACTCTTAAATGCATGTATGCCAACATGTGTGGCGATATAGTTTAAATCTCATAAGAAAAAAGTTTTGAATCAGCATGAAGCATTTGTTTTACTCACATTTTTTTTTAAATTACACAAAACCGTGCCATTGGCAGCGTTTGTTGGGTAGGGCTGGATAATGTATAATATTTTAGAAATTCAGGCATATTTGCATCATAGCTTAATAAAATTGTAAAATTTACATAATAAATTTAAATAATAAATTACAGACTGGTGATGCGTTCAAAAAGTAACATGTAACGTTGGACGACTGGCAATATTTGATTAAGACAGAAAAAAGGCCAACATACATATCGGAGATATACTTACCAAAGGCCAATTACTTTGAAGTACTGGCAGAATTCTTCATCTTCACTCAATTTAAAGAATTTTTTCATATAAAATCGAAATATTTATTTTGCAATAATGATAAATGCAATATGACACATCGCGTGTTAAATAATTGATCGAAGGAATTCAGAGAGAGAGAGAGAGAGAGAGAGAGAGAGAGAGAGAGAGAGCCCATCGTTCAAAATGCTCACCCGATTATGTACATGTAGACCAATGTAACCAGTTGTCATATAAAAATGATATTCCATGATGTCAACAATTTAGATTTGCCATATAATTAGGCTTGATGTCAACTTAACAAATTGCTGTCTTCTCCTTCTTTTAGAAGTCTCTATATTTCTGTATAAAGATCTAGATCTTTTCACCAGTCGTGGTCCCATTCTTTTCCATTTGGACATATAGTTTATACAGACCTCGGGATGCTTTATCTTGATATGAATTAATGTAGCCCTGCTCTCTTCAAACATTATTTTTATAGATATTCCTTTATAATTCCATGTAAACCGTTGACCCTCTACGTGGTCCCGTCCTTGCCTAAATAAGAGGTCAAGACGCATTACTAGTACATAAAGATGCTCTTATTTGGCTTATTATACCCCTGCTATTTTTCATCAGGAACGTTTGAAATAGTTTTCCTTCTCTTTCATTCTAAAACTTTTAACCCCATTTGGCCCCATCATAACCCCAGAGGTTTTACTTTTACCCCCATTTGTCCCATCATAACCCCAAAGGTTTTACTATTACCTCCATTTGGCCCCATCCTAACACCAGAGGTCTTACTTTTACCCCATTTGGCCCCATCATAACCATATTTGGTCCCATCATAACCCCATTTGGCCTTACTTTAACAAACCAGATTCTTCATAACAAGAATATGTTTATATATTAAAACAACAGTATACAGTCATGCTGTTCTTGATTAAAAAAAAAAAACATTTCCTTTACAATATACAGTGTAATCTATTATAACCTTTCATAGTTGACCCACTCTTGGTCACGATTTGAAATAAAAAGAATCCACTCTAATTAAATGAGGATGCTTGCATGTCAATACAGAAATTGTCATCCTGCTGTTCTCAAGAAGATTTTTAATTAAAATCTTTTCGAATGTTTTTTCATATAAAACTTTGACACCCTACTAGCCCTAGAGACCACGGTTTGAATAATACTGGATCTACAATATATGGTAATGTTTGTATAAGGATAACTAACCTCTATACTGTTCTTGAGAATTAAGATTCTTAAATTTTTTTTTAATTCGTATGTAAAATTTTGACCCCTGTTGCAACCCGATCCTAGCCCGGATTTGCCTGATTTGAACAAGCTTAAATTTGCAATGATTAAGGTAACGTTCCTTCGGTCTTTTCTAGCCAAGTAGTTCTTGATAAGGTTTTTATGTGACCCAACTGTATTTTCGGTATTCCTTAATTATCCCCCTTGAAAAATTGTGCGACCTTCCATTTGAACCTATTAATCCAGTTACACTCAGTACTTTATGGTAAATTTGCTTTAAATTGACCCCTTGGTTCTGGATCCGGAGAAGAGTAAAATATTATGCGAAAATTGTAAATACATGCAAACAGGTGCATATACCGAAAAATCGTCGATCATAAAAACCCTTTTAAGTTTCTGGCTCAGGTGAGCTTTAAAGAAGGACACAGGTACGTGTTCAAATGTCTTTAATTACATGATCCATGTGGCACGTGTAACATAATTTGTAAAGATTAAAGATTTTTGAATTACAGTATATCACCTGACACCTTATTTTTAATCTAACAATGGTAGAAAAATCGAAAATGTTAGCAGAAATTGACATTCATAGTTAACACATGTTGTTTATCGTTCTATTGGTTTTATAACCATTTTTAAAACATTTTAAGTTTCATAAGGATAAAGACAAATAAATTTAGCCCCCCCCCCCACTTCTATTTCATTCAAAATCATACCACGAAAGAATGCTATGTATTCGATAATGAAATTTAAATACTGACAAATTAAGTCACATATGTAACAATTTCCTGAATGCTTGAGAGACATTCTCTATAAGAATTTGACCTTTTATAGAAGGAGTGTGACATGACACGCATGATCCCAGATTTCCTCCATGTATGATATTTATGTTCGATATACATTGTAAAGGCTTTCTTCAAGAAATATTTTTTTTAGAATCTGGGATGTAATGGATGAATGGTTACTTTGACAACGGGTCTCAAGTGTGAAAAAATGCAAGTTTTTGACAATTCTGAATTTTCATCTTCATGATGTTTAAGACTTCAAGTTCCTTATTCACCATAAGATCCAAGAGAAATACATTCAGGCTGAGGTGTTTTAATGGTTATTTATAAATCGGTAAACTAGCTATCGATTCCAGCTAATAAAAAGGTTCAATCTACACATGTAATTTATTGCATGAAGGAATGGCAAGATGCAAACCAATGCGGAAATGGTCTTCAGTGTTACCACTTTTACCGTTTCGTATCCTTGGAAACCAAAGTGTATTCTTTATTACTATTAATCAAGTATTCATTTTTTAAGATGAAATATGAAGATAACGAACAGTAATTAAGCTCAAAAGTCCAATAAACATGCAGATAGCAGAACAATCATGGAACCCTGAAAACTTCGGGATATCGGGTGCTATGTAGGAGTAAGCATTCCCTAGCCGTGAGCCCTTTGTCTTGATGGGTAAACGGATAAATCCGTATCGTCAGTTCAGAATGGAAAACATGGCCTAGCAATTTGTATTAAAAATTGTTTTAAAAAATGGAAATACATGTAATGGCCTAACAATATGCATTAAAATTGTATTTATGTTTTATAATTACATCAAATAAGCTGATAATCTTCGCTTGTTAGAATATGAGATACATATGTTATTCATACTTTCTTTACAAAAATCACGGTGTAAAGCCCTGTAGTCCTATCAGCTAAAATACCAGTACGTTTATCATACTCAATGTGATTCTCTTCAGGATCTAATCTTAAGTATTCTATGTCTTTTTTGGATTTTTGTTTTTTTACTATCTCTAATAATAGCATGAGACTAAAAATTAACATTAGAGGATTTTGTTTTCTTAATTTCGTGATTTCGTTCATATAATTTTAAGCTTCTTGCTCAGGTAAGCTTAAAAGGAAGGACACCTTACAGGTTCATATTACTATAATAATATGATCCAGTTGCATGGCATGTGTAACATAATTTGTAAAGATTAAGGATTTTCGATTTATAATGAATCATCTGGCAACATAATTTTATGACATTTTTAAAACTAACAATAGTAGAAAAATCGAAATAGAAATTGATACTTCTAGTTAATAGTTTACACATGTTGTTTATCATTCATGTGGTTTATTATCTTTAATTGAAACATTTTAGTTTCGTGAGGATGATTTGGGGATGAATGGTTACTATGTCAAGGGGTCTCAAATATGGAAAAATGCAAGTTTTTTGACAATTTTCAATTCCAGCTGCACATTAATTCTTGCGGCAAAGAGGAACAATGATAATTGTTGAATCATGATGTTTAAGACTTCAAGTTTCTTATTACCAAACGATTCATGAGAAATACGCGCAGATTGTTGTGTTTCATAATGGTTATTTATAAATCGGTAAACTTGCTATCGATTCCAGCTAATAAAAAGGTTCAATCTACACATGCAATTGCATGAAGGAATGGCAAGATGCAGACAAATTAATGCTGAAATTTTCTTCCCACTTTTACTGTTTGATATCATCCTTGGAAACCAAAGTGTATTCTTCATTACCATTAATCAAGTATTCATTTTTTATGATAAAATATGAAGATGACGAACAGTATTAATGCTCAAAAGTCCACATAAACAGAGATTAGAACAATCATGAACCCTTGAAAACTTCGGGATATCAGGTACCATGGAGTTATCACCGTGTTTTGGGGACTGTAGTGATAACTAAGATTTCTAAACTTGAAAAATAGGATAGGAGACAGTCTTAAAATTAAAGCTGTTTATTCGTGAATGTCCGTCGCAAAAGTGATCATTTACAATCATAATAAAAGATATAAAACAATGATACTCTGTATAATTAAAATGAAAGTGTAAGATAATGCCACAAATAAGAACATGCGTTAATTAAACATCATCTCATGAACACACAATTCATTACAGG